CAGCAAAAATAATTGTATCATAATATTGCTAGTAGACATTTAAATGTATAGCATTATCATTGTCGGACCACACAGGTTGGAATCCTATACAAGATAAATTTTATAATCGATATGAGAGAATCCAATTCAAAGGGATTGGTATCCTGGTGGTAACTTGTTTAATTGGGAAATCGAGTGAAACGAGTTCAAATCCCGGATTGCCCCTATTTCATCGTGAGCCTGCACCTGCATGTCTGAGAAGACCTAGCAAGTTTTGGAAAGACATGTGAAGTCCGCCAATCCGCACTTGGCCAGCGTGGTGGAATATGGCCTGAACCTCGCACTAAGGGAAGGCCGTTGCTTAAATAATTACTATACTTCTTGAAATATTTAAATTGTAAGCAATTAATATGTGTTTTTTCATGATCAAAAAATGTCTAAAATGAATAAGAAATTCTTAACCTCTAGACTGAATTGTATGTATGTATTCAACTATTTAGTCCTTTTAATTTCTCACTGCTGAGCACAGGTCTGTTATGTCCGCCCATCAGGCCACAGTCCACTACGACGCAAAATACGCGCTGGTTGACTTTGTGAAAAATTTAATTATGAAAATTAAAAAAAAAACGACAGCTTAAAAAACTAAAAAATAGCAAACGAAGTTGACCAAATAACACAGTATTATACAGTCGGGTACAAATGAAGGTGCATGCAGCAAGACTAAAACAGACATATACCTATACAAACATACAGGTTAAACACATAACAATCCTTCGGTTTCCCACAATCGGGTAAAAAAATTGAAGAATTATATTATCTTTCAATTAGAAAGAATTATAAAATTAGTAACAAAACAACAAATTACCAAAAAAAAAGCTGAATAATTTTCTAAGTCACCTCTCCAATCGTCAACAAGTAGTCTACATATAAGTATTACAACGGTAATACACCATAACCTACCTCACTAGGTAGTTTCAAAACGAATATAATTTCAATCGTCATCACTCCGCGGTAAATTATCTCTTATGATGTATGTACATCGAGTTTGTTTACTAAACATAACAGAAGTGTGTTCATAAATATTTTCATTTTAAATTAATTGACCGTAGCATGTCGAAATATTTGATTAATACTTAGCTACTTATATTTACATTTGTTATAGCGACTTACTAGTCTCCGCTCGGGCGCCTCCCTAGGTACGTTTCAAATAGATCGATAATTATAAATAAAAATTTTAAAAACCCGCTACGCAAATTGTCATTTAACGATTACACTGGCACGCGTGAAGCACTTAATCGAGTAATCATACGCCAAAATGCCTTACTTCATTTTGGAAAAGAGCTGATACTCTTACACTGCTGGACCAATATTAACCAAACATAGCTAAGAACCATAGCAAATAAACTGGTTTTCAAATGAAAAAAACCGTATCGAAATCGGTCCATCCGTTTGAGAGCTACGATGCCACAGACAGATACACACACATAGACATCGACTTTAACCCCTCTTTTTGCATCGGGTGATAAAAAACCAGTCATGAGGCCTGCCGACAGAAGTGTAAATTTAAAACTATAAACAAACAGTTGTTATTTTTGGATATTTAAATTAATTGTTTGATCTTAAATTAAAATTTGTAAATTAAAACTGTTTACATTTATCTGGTTTTGACATCTATCGGCACTCTGAGTGTTACTCGTAGCGTTAACACGTCACGTGACCATGTCGATGATGACTTACATGAATTTAATATAATAAAATACAAGAAACATTTTTTTAACGTTCGTAACCGATCATTGAACTTAACATAGTACATACATATAGAAAAAAATGATATTAATAAAAAGTATATATACAATGGTACGGAACCCTTTATGTACGAATTCGACTCGCACTTGATTTTTTTATTGGTAATTGTACTTGAACGTGGTTTTTATCGAATTCTCTCAGTCTACTAAAAATGGTGATGAATCTTTATACTTTATATCTCCATAACATACTTTTGAAAAGTAAATGGAATGAAAAAACCAAATTCGTACATGGAAAAAACTTTGTAACTCAGCCACTCTAAAGCAATTCATTTTTAACCCCCGACGCAAAAACGACGGGGTGTTATATGTTTGACGTGTCTGTGTGTGCGTGTCTGTGGCATCGTAGCTCCCGAACGGAGGAACCGATTTTGATTTCGTTTTTTTTTTCGTTTGAAAGGTTTTCTTAGCTATGTTTGATGAAAATCTGTCGAAGATGACCGCCGCCACTAAACGGCGGATTACATATTTTTTCACAACTCCCTCAATATGGGTATCAAATGAAAGGGCTTGACTAGTAGAATATTGTACAATATGATAAATTTCCAATCTAAGATGGCTGCCACCACAAAATGGCGTATAATACGTCAAGGTTTTTTTAAAACTTTTAATTTAATTTACTAATCAGTTGAGAAATTGACGAACCGAGTTACTATTTTCCTTCACTATAAGGCAAGTAATAATCACGTTGAAAATGATTCGCACATTAAAATATCAGAGATGCTAGACCCGGGAAGTGAACCCGCTTCACTCGATTTCCCAAAAAAGCGCGTTACCAGTAGGCCACTGCCTCAATTAAACATTTACATCAAGCAAATGTTGAACCTGCGTCTATCAGCTTAAAAAACAGTGACAAACATGATTCCTACTATGCCACAATGGTGTTACTAGTCCTCATAACTGACATATTTTAATTTATCCGACGGCCCACTACATTGAGACTATATGTATTTTATTATCAAAATTGATTAAATTTTAATAGATGTATGAAATATCAAAATAAGATCAAATTTTAACAACCTAAAATTCTGTACAGTGATTTATTTTAATTAAAAAACAGTTTGTTGTAAAACTATGAATATACATAATATTCATACAAAATAGCTTACACTAATTGATAATCTGGATAAAATGAGCGTTTTCCAAGATTTAATCTGTTAATCGACAATGGAAGTAGAAATATTCTCTTTACAATTTTAATCCCGGCATGTGTTTAGCTTTTTTAATAATTTATTTATAAATAGACAACAGGTCTTTCTCGTCTGTTTGTCAACTGTTTTTTTTATTTGCTATTGACAAGCTTTATTGTTATCAATATAATTAATATTTTTTTAGAAACTAATTTTTTTATATGAAATAAAATTATACATATTATTTTTTTATTTATCAAATTGGTAAAATTTAATTAGTAAAATGGTATCAAATTGGTAAAATAAATTTTTTTTTTACATAAATAGTTGCTTGATATTGAGGACTTTAAGCGTCGGACGTAAGCCTTTTTAAGTCAAACCTTGTTAAACCTAACATGTTTAGACAGCGTTAGCCATGTAAATATCTAAGGATGACTCGAACCTGTTATTATGTTTTCCCGTGTTAATGAAAGATTTTCCTGTAGAAAAAGGTATATTAATTATTGAAAAATATATGAATAAGTTATCGCTACACAAAATTTAATTAAAATCGATTCAGTGTTTTTTGTGTGAAACGCACACTGACATACAAACAGACAATCATTTTAATAACAATTGTTATGGTACAAGTACTTTAGTAATATAACAAATGTGTAACAAACTAATTATGATTTTAGTAAATCTTTTAATTTGAGATCGGTTTTAACACACTGTCTCTTCATTTTTAATGTTGTTTTAAATTATAATAAACTAGCAGAACCTGCGGCTCGCTCGCGCTAAAACTACAAAAAAATCTCTAAAAAGGTAGGTTTCTTAAAAACTCTCATCCCCTATTTTACCCTTTTAGGGGTTGAATTTGGAAAACGCTAAAATATTAACTCATTATCTTTGCCGTACTCAATTCGTATGAAATTTTATGCAAACATGTCCTAGGAATAAAAAGTTTCATATAAACTTTTAACCCCTATTTCACCAGCTTGGGGGGTTGAATTTTGGGAAACCTTTCTTTAGTGGATGCCTACGTCGTAAGACGAATACGTGTACGAAATGTTAAGATTCTAGCCTTAAAGGTTTAGCCTGTGCGTTGATATATCAGTGAATCACTTTTGCCTTTTATATATACATATATATAATCAATATACATAATACATATATACAATCAATCCGCGACTCGAACCTAGAACCTCCGGATCTACGCCATAATTGCTAGTCAATACACCAATATGAATTTATCCACCAGCCCAATCATCCGATTAGGGGTAACATTAATTCTTTACAGAAGGTAAAACTAAATACACATTTATTGCTCAAAATAAATAACGAACTAACAAGTGATAAATTCAGATTTTTAAAGAATTAAATATTCGTTAGATTTAACATTACTTTTGTGATGAATATATTTCTCTTCGCTTTACGAAATGTTGTAAATTGCCAAGAATTTTTTTTATTATTATTTTTATTACAGTAAGTTTGCTAAAGTAGGTTTTATATGCAAATTTCTGTATTTCTAGTTTTTGTTGTTGTTTTTTTGTTTGTTTGTTAGTTAAATTAATAAAACAAAGATATTTTTACATTCAGATCATTTCACAGTTGATTATTATTATCAAACTCCCTAATTTATTATTCACGCTCTGGCTCTTATAGACACAAATTAATTCTCATATAAAAAGAAGGTCGCACCGTATGAAAGAGCTATACTGAATAGAAATACTGAAAAAACTTTTAACGTTAACATGTTATTTTGTCCAACCATACAATAATAACATATTGATTTTTTTATGGGACTAAGGGGGCAAACGGGCAGGAGGCTCTCCTAATGGAAAGTGATCACCGCCGCCCATGGACATTTGAAACACCGCAAGGCTTGCAGATGCGTTGCCGGCCTTTAAGGAAAGAATACGTTCTCTTCTTGAAGGTGGCCAGGTCGTAGCGGTTCGGAAAGACCGCCGGCGATAGCTGGCGACACTATACACGATACACTCAGTGTATACACCGAGTGTCTCAAATTGCGAGATTAGAGACACTATACTAAGTCTAAACTAGACTTTATTATAGAAGTAAAATGATTAAGATATAAGATACTTACGTATCATACCGCGGATACGACGGCGGGTAAGGAGAAGAAGCTCCGAAGTAGCTTCTAGCCCCTAACGGGATAGACTGGACGTGCGGATGCTGCACATGACCCATATGGTAACCATCCCCAAACAGAGTCTTGGGATAAGGCGCAGCCCGGAAAGGCCGCTTCATACGACGCCGCCTCCTGAAGTTACCATTCTCGAACATATCCCCGCATTGTGGGTCTAAAATAAAAACACTTAAAGCCTAAAACTTAGGTTTTAGCACATCAAATAAGACTAGTTTAATATTTTTATCGATAAGAGGTTAAAAACTAATTAATTTATACATAAAATAACATTACATATTACAATACACATTAACAATGATTCTAAAAACAATTGTGTAACTAAACAATATAGACATATCAAAACATCCAACAATTCAGACATTTAACAACAATTTCGAACACATAAGCCGTGCATACAATTTTTAAGTCGCCATAACTTTGCCAGCATTATTTCGCATCGCTCCCGTAATACAGTCGCTTTCAATAACTAAATAAACAGAGTGTTAGTAAACAATAAATCGCATGTAAAACATATTCTATCAAACGCAGCATCAAAAATATACCTTTGTTTTTGTTGTAGAGATAATATAGAAATAAATGAATTTTTGTATTAAATTATTAATTTTAAAATTAATTTTTCAATGTAAATATATATATATATATATATATATATATATATATATATATATATATATATAATTCACTCACCCAATGTCCAGTAGTTGCCCTTCCTTTCGCCACCGCCTTCCCTCGGCACTTTGATAAAGCATTCGTTCAGACTCAAATTATGTCTTATAGAATTCTGCCAACCTTTCTTGTTCTTTTCGAAGAAAGGAAATTCTTTGGTAATATAAGCGTAAATTTCGCTTAACGTAGCTCTTTTGGTTTGGCTGTTTTGTATCGCCATGGTGATTAGCGCCACGTATGAAAACGGCGGCTTTGTGAGAGCCTGGGACGTTGGTGTCGTTGACTGAGGATTCATCTCCGAGCTTCCCGTACTAGTTGGGGTTGATGGTTTAGGCTCATTTTTAGTATTGCTGAAAATAATATTTGAATATGTAGTTCTTATATAATAGATATGATAGAACAGCTAACCTAGTTCAATTAAAGATTTCGCTAAAGCAACATAGCTTCTGTATATATAGGGGGTTCTGTACATTCGCAATGTTTTTTTTTAATTTTAATTGAAAGTAATACCTGCTGGAAGTCGTAGCTTCTTCTCTTGTCTGAGGTTGTTGTGATAGGGTCTGATAGACCCTTGATAGCTCCTCATCACTCTTCACAAGATTAGACGTTTCCGCCCCATTGTCTTGCAAGGAGAGCCTGCTCTCATACGGCGAAGATCCTAAGAACATGTATTTTTAAATATATTGGGATATAACACATAGCGGCATCTAGTTCCAACCTCCATAGTAAGCTACGAGGCTTGTTTTATGGATACCAAATAGTTGATACACTACACATCTATAACTTTAAATACAGATATTAGACACCCTTGACTGGAGTACAAACATTCGTGCTCATCACACAAATGAATGCCCCCAGCGGGACTCGAACCCGCGACCATTGGCACAGCAACTACAAACTAAGTCAAATGTGTCGTCAAATTGTATATGTATGAGATGTATTATAAGAAATAAATAAAATTAACCTATTTTATTGAGTAATGTCTACAATTATACATTCTAAAATACTTTACTACAATTCAAAAATACTAACAGCAGCTTAAAACGGCTATATTTAATAATGAGAAAGACACTCAATCTATTCTAAAATTACAAAGAAGAAAAATTTGTTTTTTGTTTGTTTGTCTGTATCGAATAGGCTCCGAAAGTATTGAACTGATTTAGATGAAATTTGGTAAGAAGATAGATTAAGACCCTGGGAATGACATGGGATGGGTTTTATCCCGTAAATCATTCCTTAAGTGGGTGAAAGTTTGTATGGGAAAGCCAATCGATAGTTTGTCTATGAACAAGCTTACACTATTCATTTTTTGGATGACTTATCAAATCCACCTGTTTCATCAATGATTTCATTTAAGTGATATAAAAAAACTTTTACATGAATAACTAAGCTTTCCCAATTATAACTAAAGGGCGGTTATTTCCGTTTTACGAAACTCCACAGGAACAGCTAGTGATGGTATACTAGAAATATAGTAGCATTTACTGAACACAATATTATTGCAATGCTACATTTAATATTCGATATTTAGTCGATCCAAGTACGTGCTTCCCAATACGGATTTCTTAGAACGAGTCAAGTGTAAACCTAAACAAAGTTGTTGCTAATATATAATATATTATACCTAACTTAAAATTAAGAAATCTACTCGTTTTAAGGCTGTGAAATACAGACCACTAGTAAATAGCGTAGGATTTTATCTACTGACTAAATAATCTTTACTGATATGTAAAACTGAGGTGTCTGTTTGTTTGAACGCGCTAATCTCAGAAACTAATAATTCTATTTGAAAACTTTCTTTTGGTTTTCATAGATAACTAACAACTAGCGACTTCCTTTCCTAAAGCTTGAATGATTTAGGAATGCTTAAAAAGCAAACGTCTTCAAAAAACTTCGCTGGCGTATACATAACACCCATCTTTAAAATATGCTCTTTTTTATAAAACTAATTAAAATTATAAAATGTTTAAAGTTATAAAGTATTGTAAGGAACTTGGTGCAATTTTTCATTTTGTTAATTGTGGGTAGTCTGTCTGAAACAACTATACCTTCGAGACATCTAACACCTCAGTGTCTCCCGTGACCATGATTGCTGTAAAGCATTCGAAACGTCGGGAACCAAAAATCCATATAAATCCGCGAAATAATCCGAAATGACAGTTTTATTAAAAATTTCAAATATTCGCCAAATAATACAAAGCGTAAAGATATATTATACAAAGCAAACAAACAAACTAAATAGTACAAAACCACGTGCCTATTAACATTGAATAATAGCCGTAACAGAATCAAATAAGAAGATCAAAAAACTTGCAACAAAAGACCAAAAATATATGCTCAAGTATTATTTTTTTATAGTTTTTTGTTAAAATAATAAAAAAAATCAAAAACACAAAAATTTTTTTGGTAAACTTGACACGTTATAGTATAATAAACAAAATACGAACTAGGCCATATACATTCATTCAATGTAACGAAAGTCCTAGGTCAAAAGGCCCCGAGGCGCTCCACTACGAGTATAACGGCTACGAGTATACATATGAAATAGCCGATATCACTGCAACTACCGTTAAAAGCTAATTGAACCTTACTTCCTTTTTCCTACACGTTTTTATTAAAAAATCTATTTCTAGCCTTGTATGTTTGATTTATCAGATTGGTTTTCTCAGACAAGTAACATTTTATTTTATAAACTCAATATGAGAGAGCTTTTATTAAAGGTGAAATCAGAAGCAAATTTTTATCTATATAGCTTTATGTACTCATTTTAGGCTAACACTAAACCTGGCATTTGGAATCGTCAAGCTATAGACAGGGTGTTAAGTCTACACAAAATGTAGTTTAATCCCATGTCACTGAAGAAGAAAAATCTAAAAGATAAATAAGAATGGCATATATCTTAATCATTGTAATGGTGGTGAAACACCGCCAGAAAAACTTAATCAGTTATTGTCCCGTCCCAAAATATTGGTCTGTCCCGACCGGGACTTAAACCCAGATCTCCGGATCTGCGGCTTGATATGCTAGCACTATACCACCGAGGAAGTTCAAATCGTCGTTATACTATTGCCTCGTAACACAAGTGCTTGCACAAATCATACAATACTAATTTTAGAATTCATTTTTGTCTATAATTTCTTCTATACATCTATCTTTTCAATCACATTATCTATACATATAATAAAATTGTAACTAAGCCGAATTCGTACATTAAATATTTTTTGGAAAATCTTATTGAAATATACATTATTATCGATACATAGGCTGAATTTATTGTTTTTAGAATTTTTGTCTGTCTGTCTGTCTGTCTCTCTGTCTGTTACCGCATTACAGAAAAACCACTGGAGGGATTTTGATGAAATTTGGTATTCTGATAGCTGATTATTCGGGTCAACATATAGGATACTTTTTACCGCGGGAAATCATCTCATTTTTGAGAAAAAAATGCAAAAACGGCAATGTAAGAGTACACTAATATTTGAAACCTAAGAATTTGGTTTTTGGTCGTCTGAACGCGGGCGGAGCCGCGGGCAATGCTAGTTTTAAATAAAATAGCATAAATGGTATAGAAAAATTGTAGATGTATCCATAGTGCTTAATTGATTTCAAAAACAACGTCGTAACATAAATAACGAGAATTGAAACCGTTGAATGTTTTTATAAATTGTAAAATCACTTGAAATCTTACCGTAGACATAAATATTATTTCGTTCCATAGCAGTACCTGTAAGTAGTAATAAAATATATTTCACGGAATATATAATTAATCTTTCAATAATGTTCATTCAACTCGTTCTATAAACAAAGTTATTTAATTTGATTGCAATTTTCAAGTGTCTTCTTGTAAAGTCAAAATAACAACTTTTTACTAAATACATAATATGAAAGTATACGAGTATATAGTACTTATAATTAAAAAATCCTGGGTTCGAGTCCCGGGTCAGGCCAGGTGTAGTTATTGAGTATTTCTGTTAAGGAATTCCCAGTAGCAGCCCGGAGTTGAGAAGTTGGCTGTGTTGCCACCCCGTGCTTCGGAGAGCTTGAACCCGTCGGTACTGCGCTTAAACTCCCACCGATCGTGTCGAAGTATCGTATCATTGAACTTTGAGAGTAAAAGAAATAAAGAGTGCACTTATATTATTATATTATTATATTATCCCCTACGCGTTTGGCTAGTCTCAGTGAGATTGGCCACCGTGGCCGAAACCGTTCAGGAGGATATTATAACTAAACAAGATTTTCTAAAACTAGGTATATCTATCTAATCGATCAAATTCAGTGAGTCTGATAAGTCTAACAAAATAACAAATCTACCGTCTATCTATAACATTCACAATAGTAAAATTTAAGTCTACGAAATTGTAAAAGTCTCATAAAATAAATATGCAGTCGTAAACAATCAAAAAATGCTTTATGTTGACAATTTTAAGCGCTATGTGAGAGCAACACAATATGTTGTTTCCATATTACTACATATTACAAAATAAAGTCCCCCGCCCCGTCTGTCTGTCTCTATCTGTATGAACGTGATAAACTCATATACTATCAAACGGATTTTCATACGGTTTCACCAAAAGACGGAGTAATTCATGTGTAAGGTTTAAGTGTATAATTCATTTAGGTTTTGAGTAAATTAACTGAAATATGACAATAATTATTGAAGATGTCGACAAAAATCATGCTGAAGTATATGAAAACAATATATTACGGAATGATTCCTCTTAAAAAGTTCAATTAAAATTTAGAATCGCTATATGTATGTATCTAGGGACGAAAGTCTCTAGTTCCATTTATATTTCTATTTTACACATAGAAATAGAAATCATCTACACAACAAATTTGCCATATCCATATCTTATATATAAAATTTCCATGTCACAATGTTAGTTACCGTACTCCTCCTAAACGGTTTTACCGATTTTTACCAAATTTTATAAGCGTATTCAGTAGGTCTGAGAATCGGCTACTATATATTTTCCATACCCCTAAGTGATAAGGATAAGGGTGGTCCTCCAGACCCTACCCCAGGGACGAACCCGAGCGGAGCGAGGGTGAGTCGCTAGTAAATCTATATATTAATAGGCAAAGAAAGGCAATTCTCTTTTTGTCCTAAGTTTGTCGACCGGTTTTGTTTAATAGCTACTGACGAAATTACATTTTTTTATATAGATAGGTAAATTCTATTCATATAATGTTATCCTTAAAATTTTCTATAAAGATTACAGTTGAATTCGAGCACATGGCCAATACTAGTAAATATAGATAGATAGATGGGTTTTGAAGTAAATATGTGAACAATTTCTCGCTAATGCGTCAGACAGTATATCGTATTCGACGTGGTGCAGGCATTGTGGGGCAGAACAATGCGTATTTATAAAACATTACCACCGTATCGCTTGAAATTAATAACAAATAACAATTATGAAACTTTACCGCGAGAATTGCTCGTTGCAAAATTTTTGGTCTTCTTATTTGATTCTGTTACGGCTATTAATCAATGTTCATAGGCACGTGGTTTTGTACTATTTAGTTTGTTCTCTGCTTTATATAATATATCTTTACGGTTTGAATAATTTAGGCGGATATTTGTAATTTTTAACAAAACTATGTTGTCGGATTATATCGCGGATATTTTTTTTGGTTTTTGGTTCCTGACGT